GGGTTTTTCAAAATTTTGACACGCCGAGCTCAAAAGGTTCGCCATCACTGTTCTAGAAGGAATGGGATAATAAGTTTCTCTCTTTTTAAAAAGCCCAGCAGGACTTGAAATCTTCCTCAAATTCTCAAAGCTCCGGGAGCTGCGTAGTGTCTGCACGTGCTGGTCCACTCCAGCGCCTCAGAAACAATAGTGTCTCCCCTTCACGTGCAAATGAGGAAACTAAGGCCCATAAAAGGCACCCCCAAATGCTCGGGGCAACCATGTGGCTTCCTGAGATTTGGGATTAGCCACAATGATAAACAAAAGCGTAATATTTCAGTTGCAATAACACATGGCCCGATTTCTCCGCCCGATCAACAGTCAATACTTGAGGAATAAAATGCATGGGTGTTGTTGGAACCACAGTGCCAGCTTGGAGTGTGGCATATTCAGTCGGTGGCTGGCTCTGGAACTTCTTTCAATAGAATGTGTTTTCAGGGCCTGGTCTTGCAGACTCATTCTGGGACTGTGCTGTTCTCACGTGATCACGCAGAGCTGCTGGCTGAGGCCAGAGCGGGGTTCCCTGGGCTGGAGTGGCACCTCATTCACATTTGCACCTCCACTGCCCAGATGCCCACGGGTGGGGCTTGAATCCTGTGTTGCTGTCTACCTTCCCAACACCATGCCTGTAAGCAGGAGACATCGACCTTACTCCCTTCCTCTCCCTCTCCCTCAACCCCACTCCTGCCATCGGCACAAATACAGCGCCTGGGACCATGTCCTCCTAACCCACTCCGTCTGTGCTCCCTGAGCTGGACTGTACCCCCTCCGGTGGAATCCCTTCCTCCCTCTGCCCAGGTGCCCCTTACCCTAGCTGCCAGCCCACAGCCCCCCCTGTTTGGCTGACACCCCCTGGGGGCAGCTGTCTTGCAGGGCGTGGGTCTATGCCTCTGGTCTGGGCCAGCATGCCCCCCCCCCCACCTCCCCACCTGTCCTGTCAGCACTGGTACCTCCCAATGGCTTGAAGACCAGATTATGAAACAAAGTTTGGAAGAAAGGGAAGCTAGAGGGCTTTCTGGTCACTGTGTGATCTCTTCTTGATTTCTCACTCCCATCTCTTATTTCCTAAAATATTTCGTATATTGTTGAGTAATTCCCGTATCTGAGGTCCTTGGGAGGCCAATGTAGAGTTTGTACTTTTTGACTCAATTATCACGGTTTCTTCCCTTGCGTATGAAAAATGTGGGAGCATCATTTGAGGAAGTTCTTCCAGAATCTCGGGCTTAATCTGCGAGCCCATGTTCATCTTCTCTCTCCCTAATAGGGGCCAAGAACGCACTTCCTATCAACACTGCTGATGGGTACCTTGCTTTAGGGAAGCCCTGCCTCTCTTATCTGCTCACTGCTTATTGCTCAGCGTCTTGCTTTTTTTCTTGCTCCCTTGAAATTTTAATGTCTAAAACCCAGTAATACAACCACCACAGTGTTTTCTGCAGAATCTGTTTTGTAGCAGGAGGGAGGGGCCCTAGAATTTCCAGCTCATCATATTGACAGAAGAGGAAAGCTTCTGTCTTCACTTTTAACTAAAAACAAAGCTGAGCTGTTAATTTTCACTAGGACCTGTATGAGATCCTAAGTGCTCATTCGGAGGTCTACTCAGGTCTAGCACTGACACTCATATAATGCCACACGTGGCACAGCTTCATTCCGGAAGATGGCGAAAGTCCCTCAGTGCAGTATCAGGCGCTCTTTGCTGCAGTCCATACACATGTGCATGAGCTCCCCACATATGAACTGTTACTTGGCACCCAAAGTGGAACTCAGGTGTGAACTGTGTCCAGCACGGCCGGGGTGAACCTGAGGAGGGCCGGTGAAAGATTAAAGAAAACACACAAGAGAATACAGCTGGGGCCAGGGGGGTCACTGTGCCTGGATGAGGAAACAGTGACACAGCCTGTAAGCAGAAGCTTTATTTTATAGTCAGATCACACAAAGCAAAACAAGGGCAGATGTTTACAATGTTCTTTCGAGTTTCAAATCTGCTTCTTTCCTATTGTTGCCATTCTCTGAACGCTATCAAGCCTTGTTTTGGCAGCACTTGCTGCACCCCCCACAGCCCACATCCCTTAGCTACCTGAGGACTGCAGGGTCGGACTATAAGGTCAAGCTTACAACCATAGCCTTTTGGCTCTACTTGTGCTGGGACGACTTTGCCCTCCAAGCTGGGACTTGTATGTGGCTTTGCCACAAGTCGGTCTGAGGCTTGAACCTATCCAAACGCTGTAGCCGCTCTCCACAAGGTGCAAGAAGATTAGGGTGTGGGAGCTGCTCTGGCTTAGAAACCCTTCGCCCCTGGGGACCAATATCTCTTGTAATAGTTACCTGTGTTTATTAGCTCTCCACACTCAGGTAAAGAGAGCCTAAGGTTATGGCTTCCTGACAGATGTCTAGAGATTATTCATCCCTCTGCAGCCAGCAGCAGTTAACCAGCCAGAGGGCACTTGTGACACCGTGTTACTGAGTAACACAGTTGGCATCCCACCTTTCTCAGGTTTCTAGAACAAGGCAGAAAGTCTACTCAAAGTGGAATTTGTCTGTAGAGAAGATAGACGGGTTCATTAAACCTTTACTCACAGTAATTTATCAAGATCTTCAAATATTTGGTGTCCAGGCTTAAACATTTTTCCAATGGGTGTTGGATCAAAAAAGTTTAGAGACTCTATCTAGTCTTAGAGAAATTTAGTTTCAGGTGGTTTGTAACTGAGATACATGTCTTTCCAGAAGTATAATATGGCTACAAAGTATCTATGAGATTGTTGCAGCTTTGTGAATTTATTTTTTTTTTTGAAGCATCCTTCTCAAAATCACCAGTGGAAAATATCTTGAGGTAGAAATTCCATCCTGGATGAAAAAAAAAAAAGTGATTAGGTATGTAAGCCATTTTAAATCTGGGTGTGTTAGCCCTGGCCAGTGGGAATCAATTGGTTGGGCATTGTCCAGTGCACCAAAAGGCCGCCCATTCGATTCCCAGTTAGGGCACATACCCAGGTTTTGGGTTAGATACCCTGCCAGAGGCATCACTCTCAATCTGATGTTTGTTTTTTTCTCTCTCCCCCTTCCTTTCTCTCTCAAAAAATCAATAATGATAAAAATCTAGATGTGTTCATGTGCTTTGTGATGGAGAGTTATTTGACTTTGCTTGCCAAGCATATTGTTTATTTTTTGCATCAATTACATGCAGTTGAGTCAAAGTTGTTTGTAAACTTTTATTTTTTAGGTATTACAATAGTTATAAAACAAGGAATGTTTATTTTGTTCAAGCATTGTATTATGACAAATTTGAAACATATATAAAAGTTGAAAAAGTTTTAAAGTAAACATTGGTTTGGCCATCAAGATTCTACCGTTAACTTTTTTTTTTGGGGGGGGGGGCACTGTACTCTATTTTCTGAAACTCCTTTAAATGTATCTGCTACCCAGCACAAACGGGATGTGTTCGATTTGGAACTGCTTGCCCATGATATATTCCTTCTTAATTGAATGTTTGAAAAAGATTGATTTTAAAAAGTTTAAACATTTAAACTTCTTTAAAATTTTTTAATTTGTTGGAGTGACATCCGTTAATAAAATTGCCTGGGTTCCAAGTACACAATTCCACGATACATCATCTGCATATTGGTGCCCGCCAGCCACATTTTCTTCCTTCCGTCATATATTTGACTCCCTTCATCCCGTACTACTGCCCCCACCATCTTTCCCTCTGGTAACCACCATACTGTTGGCGGTGTCTGAGTTTTCATTTGTTCAGTTGTTGCTACCATTCACCTCTGATTACACTGCTTCCTCACCTGCCCATCTCTATACATCCAGGAGCCTTTCCCCTGCAGGGACTGCTGCAATTGTTACTAACTGGGATGAATACCCCCGGTTCATGCCTACCCACGCTGCCTATTCTCTCTCGTGTTGTCAGAGCCATCTTTCTAAAACACAAATCCTACAAGTAACTTCTGCTGTTAGAACCGTTCTGTACGCCACAGCTTCAGACAATGCCTTCTGGCCCTTCCAGGCCTTCCCAGCTTATCCCAACACTCGGCCGCCGCGGGGTCCGCTTCCAGTTCTCAGCCACACAAGCCACTGGACAGCTGAGCCTCTGTTCAGTCTTCTCCCTACGTAAAATTACCCTTTCCTTTCCCCATCTCCCCCACCATGACTGTTTTGGAATCAATGTTTGCAGTCTGTATTTGAAGATCCCATGACATCCTCCCCTCCTTGCCCCAAACGCTAACCACCAGGCAGCCTCTTTGGACGCCTGATCCCAGTAGCTTTCAGCCTTCCCTGATCACTGCCTTGGCCCCCAATACCCTTTACTCCAGGCCACTTATGACTGATTCGTTTTATGAGCTTTTCGCTGCTCAGAAATGCAGACTCCGGCTCTTCTTTAAACCCCGGTACCTAAACGAGTCTCAGGGCAGCACCCAGAGCTGGGCTCCATGCACCCAGTCCGCGCACCTGCCCCAACGCAGACCCCGGCTGCGCGCGCGCTCGGCGGCGGGCCCAGCAGTGCGCATGCGCGGGCTCGCGGCCCTGCAGACGGACGGAGCCCGAGACTGTGCGCTCCCTTCCGCGTCAGCTCGGCCAGTTACTCCCGCCCCGGCTCCCCGCCTCCCTGTTCAAACACTGACACTAAACTCGGGCCCCACCGAGGCGCGCACGGCCTGCTCGCTCCCACTGTCCACGGGAGATCCGCCTGCCGTAAAGCACGGCGCGGCACCTGCTGCAAAGCGCTTACGACAGAACCTGGGACCAAAGTACGACCGGCAGCCGCTCCCACCCCCGCTTCAAACGTTTGGGTTTGTGGAGCCGAGCGGGGTGGCCGCCAGCCCGTTCTTGTTCCGCACTCGGCCTCGGCCTCTCGGAGTTGGCTCGGAGGCGCCGCGGCCTCTGAGGGCCCTACCCGCCCCCCCGCCCCCGCGCCGCGCCTTCCGGCCGCCATCCTCCCGGCGTGCACCGCGGCGGCGGCGAGGCGGCGGCCATGTTACGGTAGTTTGTTGTTTTCTCCCCGCGGAGGAGCAGGGCCAGCGACCGGACCCGCCTCGCTCGCCGCGTCCCCGTTCCGGCCCGCCGGCCCCGGCCCCGGCCCCGGCCCCGGCCCCCAGCTGGCGCGCGGGGCGAGGCGGAAGCGGGCGTCGCAGCAGCATGGCGGCCGCGCTGGGAGCAGGCGGAGGAGCCGGCGCCGCAGGTACGTGAGCCGCCGGCCCTGGCCAGCCGCGTCCGGCCGCATCCCCGTGGCCCCCGCGGGCCCCACCGCTGCCGCGCCCGCACGGAGCGCAGGCCGGGGAGCGGGCGAGGGCCGGCCTGTCGCGGGAGGCGAGGGATCGCCGCCGGGGCCCTGGCGCGTCGGGTAGGTGTGGAGCCCCGAAGGCCACCCCAGCCGTGTTTCCCGTGGACCCCTCGCCCGTGCGGTGAAAACCTGTTAGCGGCTCGCGTGGCTGCGCGCACGGAGGGAGCGGGACCCGTGCGCATTACCGGGCCGCGCGTCTCGCTCGGAGGCGGAAGTGCCTGACGGGACCTCACACCTCAAAGCCGCTCTCTGGCGAAATTACGTTGTGTTGATTGAGGGGTTTAGTGTTTGCTTTTTAATACGGAACAAGTCTGTGGAGAGACTTTTAGGGCTGATGGGAAGTTTGACAGACGCGGAGAGCCGCGCTCGGGAGGCGCGGTCGTCATGGAAACAGTGACACCCACTCGTGTCGAGCAGAGCCTTCTTCGGCCGTGTCACTGTCATCCGCCTGGAGTTTTGGCCGAAATGTCAAAACCTTTGGCGGATGTGACCTGCAGTTTGCCACTTCGATGCTAGGTCTTTCTTTTTCTTTTTACGTGTTTGATCTTTCGAGTTGAACTTTGAAATACATGGTTTACCTTCTTGGCGACCTTCTGGGGCTCAGAATGGTGTATATGCTGTCATTTTCGGGGTGCGGTTGGGGAACATCCCGGTCAGTACGTCTTGTTGGGGCGTCCTCACGTTTCTCATTTTTAGCTGGCGCGTTCGTGAATGACAGTGACTGTAATCCACAGATGGAAGGCTCTCGGAAGCCCGACCCCCGAAAGTTAGTTTCCGCACATCCCGCCCCACCCCCGCCCGGCTGGAGCTTTAGCTCTGTGTCAAGTATGTCCACCTACTGCTCCTGTGCCTCCCTCCCCACTGTTCTCTGGCTCCTGGGTTTTCTTCGGACATTTACTCCGTTTTATAATGTTACTTAGTTATCTTTTTCTTTATAACCTTCCTTTCCTGGTAGTCTGTGAGCCCCACGAGGACCCGAGTGCAGCCTGTCTGTTAGGAGCCCTGTGTTTCACGTCCCTGTGGGGACTGTTGAGCAAGTATTTGCCACGTGGATGAATTGGAGAATGAATGCTTTTTTTACGAGCCCCTTTGCTCTTTTCTGTGTACATTTACAGCTCTGTGGTCTAACAGTAAGACTGGACCAGGTAGCATTCTGCTGTCCCTTTGTCCATTTAAGGGTTAGGCCCTGCGAGCTTCGGGAGTCTACAGTAGGTGGGCACCATTTGGACCCACTGTTGTTTAACCGTTTCAGTTTTATACTTTTTCACTGCTTTAGAAAACATTGCACCGAACATCTATAGGCACGTCTTGGTGTGGTTAAACCAATATTTCTGGAGGATAGATACTGCTTCAAGTGGAAATTACATATGTTTACAATTTTGATAGCTATTGCCAAGTTGTCCTCAAAAACGCTGGTACCGTTAGTAATGTATGAGAGTACCCCATTTCCCATACACTTTCTAAGAGTTTATTACTATATTTTTTATAATCTTGAGAGAGAAAAATAGCTTCAACGTTGTAACATATTTCCTTTTGTGTCTAGTGAAGTTATGTTTTCATACATTGTATTTATTTTTCTGCCTGCTTGTATCATTTGTATTTTTTTTATTGTGTGGTTGATCTCTCATTGTTTTAAAGAATTTTTTGTATATTTTAATGGTTTTTTTCCATAATAGTGTCGCCACGCCAACAGTTCCTGTATGCTTTAGTATTTTATGCTCCTTTGCTGCTTTATTATTATTTTTTTAAATTTAACTTTTATTCCATACTAGAGGCCCGGTGCATGAAATTCGTGCACTGGGGTGTGTGTGTGTGTGTGTGTGTGTGTGTGTGTGTGTGTGTCTCTCCCTCAGCCCAGCCTGCACCCTCTCCAATCTGGGACCCCTTGGGCTATGTCTGAGTGCCGGTTTAGGCCCAACCCCTTAAACTGGCAGTCAGACATCCCTCTCACAATCTGGGACTGCTGGCTCCCAACTGCTCACCTGTCTGCCTGCCTGCCTGCCTGATTGCCCCTAACTGCTTCTGCCTGCCAGCCTGATCACCCCCTAACTACTCCCCTGCCAGCCTGATCGACGCCTAATTGCTCTCCTGCTGGCCCGATTGCCCCCAACTACCCTCCCCTGCTGGCCCGGTCGCCCCCAATTGCCCTCCCCTGTGGGCCCGGTCACCCCCAGCTGCCCTCCCCTGCAGGCCTAGTCACCCCCAACTGCCCTCCCCTGCTGGCCTGATTGCCCCCAACTGCCCTCCCCTGCCAGCCCGGTCACCCCCAACTGCCCTCCCCTGCAGGCCCGGTCCCCCCCAACTGCCCTCCCCTGCAGGCCCGGTCCCCCCCAACTGCCCTCCCCTGCTGGTCTGATCGCCCACAACTGCCCTCCCCTGCTCGCCATCTTGTGACCACATGAAGGTGGCCATCTTTGACCACATGGGGGTGGCCATCTTGTGTGAGGGTGTGATGGCCAATTTGCATATTACCTCTATTATATAGGATGAGACTTTATTTTGGGTATGGTGTGAATTTGGGGCTTCTCACAGTTCTAATATGATTTTTTGAATTCTCCATCTTATCCATCTTTTTTACATGTTAAATTACTATTTATAATAAATTTTTAAAAATTATTGCTTCATTTTGTGTGTATTAAATAGCATGTTCTTTTAAAGAAATTTCTTTAAAATTGTTCTTACAATATAAAAAAATGAACTTCTGAATCTTCATGTTCTGTAAATAATTCTGAAATTTTTATTAGGATCTCATTGTATTTATTAACATAACTTGGGAACGATTGGTATTTTTACCATATGGGTTCTTTCATCCAGCAATGAGAATGCCTTTGTTAATTTCTTTTATGCCTGTCAGTCATCTATCACATGCTTATTGAATGTGCCAGGCACTTACCTAAGAGATTGGATGCATACTGAACAGACTACACAGAGATTCCTGCCCCAATGGAACTTATAGTAGTTACAATTTTCTTTTTATAGTTCTTCTACTTTACTTGTTTAATTCCTAGATATGTTATATTTGTTTTCATTGTGGATGGTATAGTTTTGTTTATCCTATTACATTCTCAAATTTGTTACTGATCTATAGAAAAGTGTTTTTGTAATTGAATTATATACAACTGGCTTATTAGAATCTTGTTTTAATAGTTTGATGTTTTAGATTTTCTAGTTAGTCATATTTGCAATCTCTTCTCTTCTAATATTTATATCTCATTTCTTTTTCATATACTTCTTCTAGAAACCTTCATTGTCAAGCCCTCCAATGTAATGTTGAATAATATGGGTGATGGCAGGTGTCTTTGTCTTGTCATCTTTTTTGACTTAAATGAGCATTCTTTTAATATTGAGTATGGTGTTTGCTGTAGGTTTCTGATATTTTTGTTTAGCTAAGAACATTTGTTTTTTGAGTTGGGTTTTAATTTTATCAGTTGCTTTTTCTGTATTTCTTGAGGTGGTTGATGAGGCCCCTTCTTTTATCTTGCAATATAGAGTAGGGGCCCAATGCACGAAATTTGTGCACTGGGGGCGGGGGGGGGGGTGTTTCCTCAGCCCAGCCTGCCCCCTCTTACAGACTGGGAGCCCTCAGAGGATGTCCTACTGATGGCTTAGGCCCGCTCCCTGGGGGGAGTGGGCATAAACCACAGTTTGGCCTCCCTCTGTGGGAGGTTACCAGGCTGATCAGGGAAGGTGCCAGCCCCATCACCCCGCTACTGCAGCCACTGCCAGCCACCGCAGCCACCAAGGTGTTTTCATCAACACTGACTCCAGTCCCTTGACCATGAAAAAATGACAACTTTCTTTAGGCATTTTAAAGATGCGTCTTTCATAGATATGACATTTCTTTCTTTCTTTTTTTTTTTTTTTTTTAATCCTCACCTGAGGGTATGTTTCCATTGATTTTTAGAGAATGTGGAAGAGAGAGGGACAGACAGAAATATCAATGTGAGAGGGACACTTTGATTGGTTGCCTCCTGCATGAGCCCTGACCTGGGCCCCGGCCAGGGAGGAGCCTGTAACCTAGGTACATGCCCTTGATCAGAATCGAACCCGGACCCTGCGGTCGGCAGGCCGAGGCTCTATCCACTGACCCAAACCGGCTAGGGCAGGATATGACATTTCTTAGCCCCTCCAGCAGCAGACTTTCGTTTTTTCCTCCAGGATTGTGGTGGAAAAACCCTAGGTCACCTTCTTGGATTCTTATAACCCATGTTACCAAGAACACTGCAAGTGGTGGCGTATAGGGAGCTTAGCCAATGCGCCGTCAGAAAAGGTGTTTATGCTTGAAATGGTTTGACGCAGTGGATAGAGCATCTGCCTGCAGACTGAAGGGTCCCAGGTTTGATTCCTGTTAAGGGCATGTAGCTTGGTTGGGGGCACATCCTCAGTGGTGAGTGTGCAGGAGGCAGCTGATCAATGTTTCTCTCTCATCGATGTTTCTGACAGTCTATCCCTCTCCCCTCTTCCCTGTAAGAAATCATAAAATATATTTTTTAAAGAAAAGAAAAGGTGTTTCCTCTGCAGCCCATGCACAGAGAATCCCCTGCGTTGTGTCCACTGGGCTAGGGGCGTGTCTGGCCGGCCGCCGGGGGCACACCCCCAAGCCCGCGGCCGCATGTTCGCTGTGTCTGTGGGCTGGGGGACATGGATCTGGCGGACACGGCGCGCGGCAGCTGCTGGGGGCACATCCCCAAGCCTGGCGGCCCTGCATTCGCTGTGTCCACCAGGCTGGACCCAGGCCGCTTGGCGCGGCCGCTTGCGCTTGGCACCCTGGCCGCTTGTCCCAGGACCCAGCCCACTTGGCCACCCCGGCCACTTGTCCTGGGACCCAGCCCGCTTGGCGCCCCTGGCTGCTTGTCCCGGGACCTGGCCTGCTTGGTGTCCCGGGACCCGGGCTGCTT